CCCCCCCCCCCCCCCCCCTCTCTCTCTCTCTTTCCATCCCTCATTCCGCCTGGCGTAACCTCTTTCTCTCGCGCGCACGCCGCTCTTTATCGCTTTATCTCCCACCGGGACTCGACCTCTCCCTCTCGCGACGACGGCTCTCTTTCTCTCGGCACTCTCGCTCTCTCGCATGCTCTCTTTCCCCTCGAACCCTTTTGCGGTATGGCTCGCGTGCTGGACATCGGTGGGGAGCCGGGAGACCTTCGATCGATCTATCGAACCCTGATTTGATCGGTTTTCTCCGTTACGGGCTTGTATGCGCGCGCGTACAATTTTTTCTCTTCTTTTGCGTGCGTAACTCGCGGATCTGCGTTGCAACACCTCGATACTTCCAATTAGATTCCCCGAGCAAAAGTTTCCACGGAATTAATCACGTCAAACCCGACGTTTGAATTTGCGTACGTGCGAAATTTCCGGCATTCATCATCGGCATATGTGCGCGTAAAAACTCGCGAAAATGTCATTTGCGTGATTTCAATAATTGGCACACACTCCGAACTGCTCCTTCAATCGGGATATATGTTTTTTTTTCCTCAAAACGCATCGTTGTTTCATACAACGGAACATTCGTACAACAGTATCTCGCACAATGAAGCTTCACTTTCGAAAATCAAACAGAGGTCCCGGCGCATCCTCGCAGTTGCACTGTTTGTACGAATGTGCAAACAATGGAACTACCCATTTCCTGCGCGAATATATCCTGACGATATCCAACCGGTCGCGAACCTGCCGGCAGGCAAACACTCGAGATTCTACGGATATGTACGAATCCACTTATAGAAAATCCACAAACTTCAGATTTTTTTTCGCATCAGTTTAGCGCTCTCATGCATATTAAAATGCCCTAATAGTCAGAATTTTAACTGGAAAAAAATTGGCAATTTTTTATCTTTACTTTTTAAAAAATATTGGACGGATAATTACTTTAATTTTTCTTTGACTTTTATTTTTTTTTCTATTTTACCTCGTTTTATTATAAAAATGTCCATAATGAAGTTGATTAAATTCAGGTTGCTTTATTCAAAGGTATAAAGTTGAATTCAAAATCTTATCTCAAATTTTTGCTTTTTTTTTTTACAAAGAAAGGAATAATAATTTTTTTTTCCTGATGACGATCGGCCGTAATATTGCTCGGTCTACCGCGTGCTTGACATTTAACGGCACTCCACCGCTTACAAAACGAAACGAAATGCATTCACGCTACAGAAGTATACACCGGGTGTATTCAGTGGCGAACGATCGTCGACGAGACGGTGACAAACAGCGATACCGCTGGAAACGTGGAAACTGGACGGCCGCCGTCGTATTGACAAACGACCTAACGCTCGTGTGGACCGTTGCGTTCGACGAGATTCGAATTATCTCTGTTGGAGCTTGTCAATGCAAATGCCATACCTACATTCAATTACCGCTCGTCACGCTCCGATCAACTCCCGGACTCGGCAAACCAGGTACTCTGCTATTCCACGAGTACGTTTCTTTGCCTGCGATCTCAAATTCGCGAGACCGCCTTTCGTTTTACAGCCAAGTCTAAGCTTTCAGAAGATTCTAAGACAATCGCAGTTCTCGGTATTGTTTCGATACTACAAGAAGACGTAACGATACTATTTTGTACAAATATTTTTAACTCTTCGTTACTCCAGATTACAGCAGACCTTATAAATTCACTAAATATTCGTATAAATGCTGTTTATATACATTATTATATTTAGCGTAAATTATTTCACAATTAAAAAAAATTTTTGCATTTTCTTTTACTTAAAAAATGTTATCAATTTTTATTTAATTGTAAATAGTAAAAAGAAAAGAATAAAAATTGAAATATAATGTTAGAGTGTCAGAAACTTTCCGCGTAAATTAACATTAAAAAACCACGGCGCAATATTAAAAGTTTTTATTTTAATTATTATTATTTCGGAATTCCAATGTTTTCGTTTGTTCACAATAAAAATACTTTATCAATCGTCGAGTTAATTTGATTGCTCCATAATGCTTCAATATTTTACTGTTAAAAAAGAGATAAACTATTTCACGTATTTCTATTTTTAGATTATCTAGCAATCGTGTCGCTGTAAAATACAGTCCCATGTGGCGACG